GAAGCCAGGCGTGCATCTCGGCGGAGGCCTTCGAACATGGCTGCCCTGGCTATGTGGTCGTAAGCAGCAACACCGTCAACACTGACTACCGTCTTGCTCGGATTCAGTTCGCACGAGACCGACAGAGCGCGTGCGAGTGCCTCGGCCCCAACTCGAGTGGAGAGCGCGTGTTGGAAAGGGCTGCACACATCCATAAACGCATCTGAAGCCTGTTGCGCCAGAGTCCGAGAAACCAAGCGACGGAAGACGTTTCCCATGGCGAGGGCACGTATGCCTCCGTTCGGCTTCTGCAACGCAACCAAACGGCCGAGATGAAGGCCGTCAACGACTTTCGCCGGCACACGTCCTGCGGCGAAGAGTTGAGCAGCATGGAGTAGTAAATCGGAGCAACTTTCGTCATCAAGCAGAATGCGTAAATGCTCAGCTGTGCAGCCATACGGCCCGGCGGCAGCTCCCCGCCGGGCCCCACGTAGGTTGCCGAAGAATGTCGCAGCATCGACTGCCATGTGCCCGTTCTCCGGGGAGAAAGTTGAGAGCCATTCAGGAAGTGGCACTTGGCTGGTTTGGGGTCTTTTGTGGGGTCGCGCAAGACTGCGAGCGTCTCGTCGGTGGCAGGGGCGAGCGGCGTCGCGTCAAGGGCAGCTCTTGCGGCGGATAGTTCACCAAGATGCACGAGCGCGACGGCCCGCTCGGCCCGCCGTTGCGCTTCCAGGTCAGCGGCAGTGGCGGGCCCTCCAGAACGAGTTTGTGGTGGCGCCCGGCTGCGTTGCTGCTGGGGCGCCGCTTGGGCGGCCTGGGCTGCCTGGCAGAGCAACTCGTCCCAACGGTCTTGAGATAACAGGTCTACCCGCTTTGCAAGTTCCTGCGGCGGGACCCGCACTTGACCTCTTTCACGGAAAAGTAACATGCGTGGGGCCAGGAGGAACAGCTTCCATCCAGTGTCTTGCTCGGGTGCGTCCCGCACGAGCTCGAGGCCTGCACGTAGTGCTTGGCGCAGGGCTTCTTTTTCCGCACTTTTTGGCGCCTGCAGGGAAAGTGCCGCGTGCTATCGTCCGCCGCCTGCATGCTGCCTGCATGTGTCCTACGGCCGGCGCACGCGGCAGACCTGCTGCCGTGTTTCTTTATCATTGGAATCGGTCAAGACCTCATGCTCGACGTCTCGAAGAGTGAGGCGGTGTTGCACCCCACCAGTTCGTGCCAGCAGCGATCGCGGTGGGATGCGGTGGGCCTCAGCTGGGACAGCGGCAGTCCGTTGACTTGCTTTTGGAATTTGCCCGCAGCCGTTCAAAGGCAGAAAAGGCGATCCGATCTTTTGTTCTGGCCATGTTTGTGATCGATTCTGGGACCAGCACAAGAGGGCTTGAAGGCGAACACAGCTTATCAGGGCTTGCGCAGCCAGTTTTGCCATTGGCCATGTGTCATATTTGTTCACCAATTTCGGATGGTTGCAAGAACTGCAAATTGCCGGGTAACTGTGAAATTGGTTGAATCATTACATTATCGCAGAATTCAAGATAAGTGCGTGCCGTACTTTTGACAAGAGTGACAATGATGAAATTCTTGCCTTTGCAATGCCGCCTCCACTTCGTGTAGCATGGGTTGGCGATGCAGACGAGCCGCAGGCTGGGGAGTTGGAACGCGTTCTGGAACGTGTCGCCGAAACTGTCAAGCAGCATGTCACCAGACTTTGCCCGATGCCCAGGGCGTTCTGATCCATTTCTTTGATGCCCATATTCTGGTGGGCTGTCCATCCGGAGCAGGTTCGAGCCTCTTCCGCCCGGTAAAGCAAGCTCTGTTTCGGGACAAGTTGTGTTGCCCGTGTGGAGCTCAAACGTTGAAGAACTTTGCCTCGCGGGGCTATATAGTTCGCAGGTGCCCGGCTGGATGCTTTGGGCATTGCAGGCCCACTGGATGCCGTGTTGGCGACGTCAGGCGGGCTTCGAGATCTCTTGTGAGCACTTCAGGTATTCATGTCTCCCCCCCTTTGAGGCGGCTGCTTGGAGGGCTGGCCGGAGCTTCGCAGGTTTGGCCATGTCTAAGCCCTGCCGTTCTGTCACGGAAAGATGACATTTTTGGTCGGCGAAGGCTATCAACCTGGCGGCAGGCTCAAAGCATGCAAGGATATGTCGGGGTAGACTCGGGTAGACTGTCGAAACATGGTGTCCTGGGTCTTGGGATGTTCCAGTACTCGGCATTGCAAGGTTCAAAGACCATGCTGTGATCACATATTGAAAGTAGGTTGATCTTGAAGGTTGAAGCACCCACAGCTGTTCCAGGCATAAATCGTGCATAGGCTGCTGCATGCTATGGAGCCAGAGGTCAGCAAGGAAGCGCATGTGCGCGAAGGCTGCTTCGGCAGATTGCGGCGGAAACTGACAGAACCGCATGGCCATTCTGGCCATTCTTTGTTCAGCAACTTGTTTCGAGTTGATTTTCCGTTGGGGCAGTCACCCATTTCTTCTTGTGCATGATTCTTGATACTTTCCAAGGAAAGTTTCGTTTTGCGCTGTCCCTTTTTAGTGCCTCGGCTGTTTTCGTTGTGCCATGACTCATGATGAGTTCAGCTACGGAAGCAAGCCAAATCGTATACTCATTTCTTTGGGCTGAGGCTTGTTCCACATACTGGCCATCATTGGCTCAGCGAAAGATGCTCCCCGCCAGAGAGAGCTGAAACTCTCGTTTCGTTCGCATCGTCTTTCCATACCGTGCGATTTGCAGGTTTACCTTGAGAAATTTGGAGCAGCCCCTCGGAATACCCGTGCGGAAGTGGCCACTGCAAGTGGGAGTGCATACATTGTGCCGTGTGTGCGTCGGCTGAAGTCGCTGTAGCGTGGTGCAAGTTCACTCCCAGCAGTGTTGCATCTTTCAGGTAGATCTTCAAGATTAAAGAAGTGAGCATTGTCACTGTGAAGATTTGCTGAGGATGCGACGATCATGGGTTTGCTTTTCTCCGTGATTTCTTTCTGGAGTCCGCTCACTGAGTGCCTGGTGGGACACCTGCAGGACAAGACGCTTTGCCCCCAGCATCTCCAGTGTCTCTGTCTTTCCGTCTGTCCTCTGAAAAAACCCTATGAAAATTAAACAGGGGCGATGTTATAGGGCCAGCATCCTGAACAAGAGGACCAACAGCAAGGAGGCAAGAAGGAGGCCATGCTTGGTCTTATCTGAAAATTGCTCCTCCTCCAGGACCGCGAGGTGCTGAAGCGCTGTTTCCCAGTGGAGCGATGGGGTCGCAGAGCTCCCTTCTTGGCCACGCATTGCGTCATAGCAGCGGTGGCTGCCAGTGCTGTGCCCTGTCCGAATGTAGTTTCTGATTGTGATGCATTCAAACTAAAGTTAGAGGGGTCGGGGCCCTGGTCTCCTTGAAGCTGCAAGGTGTACATGCCACCTAGCCCTGGTCTCAGTATTCTGTCATGTCTCTTCTCCACAGGGCTCGCCAAAGGACTCCTGTCTGCAGGTAATGCCACAGGTCCGCTGGAGGTCTGGTTCGCAGCTGGGCCGCATAGGTCAAGGGCCGAAGCGTGCTGCTTCTTGCATTTTCAAAGCTATCTGCGATATCTGTCGGCGGCTTTCAAGGAAAGCCGAAACGATGTCAACCACAGGTTCTCGTGCTCATGTTGTCCTACTGGGGAGCTTCTTCCTGCGTCATCGCCTTCGAAGCAGCCCGTCAGGCCTGCGCCTGATTGCGACACACCGCGAACTACATGGTGAACTACATACAAGCCAGTAACAATGATACGGAAGCTACTTGAATATCGGGGCCTAAATACTTCCAATAACGCTCTGGGGTATGTTGCACATACTGACAAGGGGGCGATAAGGGAAGCCAGCACTCCAAATGTCAGGAGATCTACCCTTTCAAGGAGGAGCGCATCGTCGTTGAAGGCGCGGAGGTGTCGGCAACTCGAAGTGAAGGCTTTGATATTCGGGGCTCCTTTGATCACGTGCTTAGTGGAGACCCCCGAGTCTGGAAGGAGTAGGGGTTTGGGGTTTAGGGTTTAGGGTTTAGGGTTATAGGGTTATAGGGTTATTAGGGTTATAGGGTTTAGGGTTATAGGGTTTAGTTTAGGGTTTAGGTTTCGTTTGCGCTTGTAAGGAGAGGCCTCGCTGGCTAAGGGCTCTGGGGTGGGGACGTCTCTTCCAATTGCCCGGTGCATGGGCCTTGCAGCACATGGAAGCTGGCGGAAAAAAATGCAGTGGTTGCCCAGAGTGTCATGCGCAGGTCTGTGCAAGTATACTATGATGATGGGCGGGGGCTGTGGGGCTATCCCTGTCTTGGTGCTGATGGCTGTTGCTTGGCGGCTTTCAGATGTCGTTGTGTCATTGAAGTGGGCGGAGCATCAGTTGGTCAGACGAGATGTGCCTTGCAGGATGCTTCAATGCTGCACCGCCTTCTGTTCGTGTTCTACATTCTCCTGTTTGGCTTGGTGAGCCTGGAGGCTCGAAGCCGAGATCGTGACAGGCCCACCTTCTCGTGAGATTCGTGGTGTCCAGGCAGTTCCGATCTTCCGCGATGCGAAGGCCGCTCCATTACCGGAAGTCCCATCAGAGGCAGGGAGGGGCGGTTAGCCGGTTAGCCTGCGCCCAGCCATGCTTTTGAGTGCCTGTTGCTCGTTGGCAGGGGCAAGAGGTCCAAAGCAGCACCGGCGAAGCTGGTGGCGTTCTGCAGATCCTGTGCGAGGCGTCAAGCTTTTTTTTGATGTTCAGACACACACACTTAGAAAAGTGGTTTCTGCACTCGCGGACTCTAGCAGCGTTAACACATTGCGATGAAACACGATGAAGTTGATGATGGTGATGATAACGAAAATGAAATGAAAGTCTTGTTGCCAAGTATGCC